GGACCAGGGAGACTCAACACACACCCAGTACCCCCAGTCCCAGCAAAGTCAAGTTCCGAGGAAGACATCAAACTGAAGATCCCCAGGTCAAGATCCGAGCAGTCCAGCTTCTGTCAGGGACGGGAGATTCCGCTTCCGGTTTTCCACGGCGAGACGCACGACCTGCAGCACATAATCCGCGTAGGGTTTCTTTGGTCTAAGCTGGAGGCGTGCCCGCAACAGGATCTAACTGAAGAAGTTGTTCTCATTTCTGCAGTTGAAGTTGCTGGTCTGGAGCCTAGCCCAGCCCTGCATTGACATTGCTCTTCACAACAAACAAAGCCCCCTTGTTCTTTGAGGCACGAACTGGGTAGGCTGGCTGCCGGCACAACTGAAACCAGAATAAGCCACCAGGTTCTACTGTCATGATGGCTAGCACCCTGAACCGCTGGTGAGCAGATTGGTGCCTCGGGTAAGTCGGTGGCTACCACCTCCACGCCTGAGGCTCCCCGCATTCGTCTTAGACTCATAATAAGGGTACGATCCATTTGATTACCCCCTTAAGGTCTAGATTTTGGGCTTTCTGATGGGGACCTTGCTTGGGGCGTACAGCTCTGCCTCCTTATCTGATTGTGCCCTTAGTCATACGGGCACTATTGATTCATGAGAACTACAGGGACGTTATGGGGATCTTTATTACAAGGCTTCGGGCGCGGCACTGCTCTGGTTGCCAGCTACTGATGTAGCAAGTGCTGCCGTACAAGGGGCGTCGCAACCACGAAAGCAGCATCTTTCAACATGAGTGCCAGTTGTTAGCTCACTAACAAAAGCTGCACAAGAGTTGGCGAGAAAAAAATGTGCAGAAGTTTAGACATGGATCAGGATGATTTCGGGAGGGAACTGCAGGAAGGCAGGTGTCGTCATGCTCCCGCATGCTGACCAAAGAAAAGCTTTCTGCACAATTTACGGACAACTGGCCCCTTGCTTACTTGCTAAAATCTTGCCCCTCCCGCATGTACAAGGCACACGCTCCGCATTCTGCGAGCAGAAAGAAACTGACCACAGTGATGACACCAATTACGGAAAACAAACCGATGCAAGCACAGCAAGCCTTTAAACCCTAACCTGATGATGATTTGAACCCTAAATTACCATGTAGAAGTTTCCATTTTCCTTTCCATTGCCGATATGCCCCTCTACTAGACATGCTAATACTATGTAGTAATGATACTACCAGCAGATGGCCTGGTAGGGAGGAGGCCACAAGCGAAGGCAGTGCGGAAGCACCGCAGCCGAGCTCCAGCCTCGAAACACCCCAAAGAAGGCAGTGGGGGCTTCCTTCAAAGGGCTTGGGTGGTTGTCGAAATTATGGTCCCTTTTTGGGTACCCTAAATATTAGGTGCCGTATTAAATAAGGATCCAAAAAAATACCATATTTTTGACAACCACCCGCTTGAAGACAGTACGTATAGATCTGTGTGTAATTGTGTGTACATGTCAGCGTCGGCTTTTATTTATTTCCTTGGCCTTATGCGGCATTCTTAACCCATGGCCCCTCATCTCGTTCGTGTTACATGTAATCTTATATTGTACCTTGACAAAATCATCTGATCTCGGTTTGCCGTGTTGGAATATGTGCTGGGCTCTCATTGCAAAGAAAACTGTGGCATATCTCGTTCAATCCACGGCCCCTATCTAGTTCCCAGGAACCCTGAACCCTGATGCAAAAATACCAACGCGCCTGGCGTTCTACTCTCTTATGTAAATAGACGTAGCTGCTCATGTGGGTATATACAAAGATGTATATATTATACATGCAATATGTAGACGAAGGATGTCTTGCTTTGGGTTCTATGATGCAACTTGAAGTTAAGATGGCTGTCGTTTACGAAGAAATGCTCGTGCGTCCGTTCATGCGCCGACCTCCCTGAGGCTGTGACACTCTCAGCGGCCGGCGATCACTCATCGGGAAGCCTGACATAGAAACCTAAACTTGCAGTTGGGGATGTCGGGTTACAGTGAAAGAAAAAAAGCTTGGGCAAATGGCCAGCTGCAGCTCCAAAACTGAACTAGCCTTGGGTATAGGGCAAACAGGGTGGGAGCTGCTGGCGCGCCACTGAGCTCAATGCAGACGCGAGCGAAAATTCGTCATCTGCTCGCGTGGAGTGAGAAGTAGGAGGATCTACCGAAAATCATGGATTAACGGAATGTATCGCAGCCCTACATCTAGATCCCTCCGGCCTAAACCTAATCAACAAATTGTCAGATCATGTCAGATCCAACCAAGGCCCACCACGTCCGCAACCCTTCCCCGGTCTAATCACCTGAAGTAGAACATCCCTACAGGCAACGCTGGTAGATTTACCATCAAGGCAAGAACAAAGACAGTGCTTGTAGCAACACTCACCGCCGGCAAGAACAGCTGACGTGGCCTACATCCTAAGCCCGCAAGGCCCATAAATGGTAGCCCAGCCTGCTCCACCCTAAGCCTGAATTAACTGCTGGGCCTTGTGCCGCCAAGTGCCTCGCCAAGATGATGGCGGAGCCTGGGGGTTTCGGAGGTTAACGGGAATGCCACTCATAGCACTGTTACTGGTTGCGCAGGGCTTCGCACCAGGGACACAAAACAGCAAATTCATTCTGAGAGCATCATGAAGAGACTGTGAAACTGTGATTGCAGGGAGGTGCAGTTGAGGCGTTAAGTGATTGCCACATACAGCGTGTGGACCGCAGCATTGTGGCCCAGTTCCACGCAAAGCAGAGTTGCGACCGACACCGGCCTTCCATCCCAAAACAACTCACAAGCTGAGCCCTCGTTGCTGTGCAAAGGGTTCAAGGGCAGGGGGTTCAGATCTACACCTTACAGCGTGCCCAAGAATACCCCAGCATGACGTATCTCCCCTTCTAGGGTCCATGGGGCTCATCTCTGCCATATGGTTCGTATGAGATCTTCACATCTTGGCTGTAGGGCGCTGCCACACATCTGTTAATGCAGCAATGCCCATGAAGATCAGAATCGCCGCAGCAGGTCAACTACCATAGTGTCAAAAATAATGCAATGATAACAGTCAAATGGCCGCAGTGCATGAGCACGTGCTGCTTGCGGACAGGCTACCCCAAAGTAGTCCTGCCGTCATGTGCAAGGAGGAAGCGCTACTCATGGCAACTAATTACATCTAATAGCAGAATTCGGTAGAAATTACATTGCTTGTTCGAGGACAGAGAACAAATGGCAAGTGTAAGAGAATTAGTAGCAGCACCTTCCTGAGAGATAACAGCACGCGTAGCAAAAGTCATGCAGCCAGTAATGCATTTGCAACTACGCGATAGCAATTCGGCCGGCATCGGAGCCCTTCCTCAATGTTGTTAGGTGCGAACGTCCGATTCTGTCTGCTCAAGGGGGCTGGGCTACTCAAAGAGAAGGGCTGGTGCAAATCCGGATCCCAAAGCTCAAAGCATCCGCAAAACCGAAAAAAAATCCACAGAACTTTAGCCCTCCGCTTCAAAATCGCATTTGCAATATCGCTAATCATTAAAATTGGGGACCTTCAAAATATCACCCAACGGTCACTTTGCTTTTAAATTGAACAGCCCCCCCCCATTGGTTTTAAAGGGGTCAAGCTGATGCTCCTCCTTGGGCAAGAGCTGCGTCTTGCTTGAAGGTCAGCTCCACCTGAGCCAAGGAGGCTATCCCTGCGAAATTCAAACAGGACAAGTCTCGGAGAATCTGGGCATCAGGGGCCTGAAGTTGCCTGAACTACAGCTGACAAAGGCCCCAAAGCCAAGGAGCAAGAGAACCTACAATTAGAGGTGCCCGTAATCCGAAGATGAGATGGGAAGTAATGCAAGTAAGACGAACTGCCAGGGCTTCTATGTTGCGAACCGCAAGGTACAGTAAGAGACTTGGCTCAGATAAATCCACCCTTTGTGGCCTCAGCAGCTTTACTCTCCAGGCTTCTGGCAATTAGTAAGTACACTCACACGGAGCCTGGGTCCAAAACCCTAGCAGAACCAATCCCCGGCCTTCCTGCCGTCATGCAGGTAGACGTCAACCGCCCGCTCTGCCTTCAGGACATTTACTCAAACTTTGAAAAAGCTTTCCGCACCTATCTTTCTGGCCGGGTCTGGTGCTGCAGGCGTGCCCGTGCATATAGGCCCAACATACTAGTTCCCCGGTTGGCGCTGGGTCCTGCATACGGAGACATGCGCAATTTTGCGAGAAGGATTCCGCCATGTTGATGGCTTGGTCTGCCTTTCATATTGGTATCATGCCCAGAAGATGGCCACATGCTACATTGGCAGTATGAGGCGATGACTTTGGTGATGCGTTGGGAGCTCAGGTCCGTGCCCTGCTGCGCCCGCCGATATGGCCGTGGGAACTATGGATATCTCTACATCAAGCCCCTCGCTTTGAAGCAATTACCAAGGCTTTGTACGTCCCCCGCTTGTGCCTCCAGAGCTGTGGGCTCGTGAAGTGCCTTAGCCACAGCCAGTGGGCTGCTCTGACTTCCCGGGATCCATATACTCCTTTACTGTACTCGACTGCTTGCACACGCGCGTTTCTCTGACTGCCATGGTAGCTGCATGATTTCAGATCCCAGCGAACTACCCTACATCTACCTACTACCCTACAAATCTCCCTACCTACAGTCCTAACTACCTGCCAGACCCTCAACTTTGCTTCCGTCCACGCTGCTGACGGAAGTAAGGGGTATGGGGTGAGACAATCTAGCAGTTGGACCGAGATTGTCTTCATTAGAAGTATAGATTCAGCAGATCTGCTGGAAATCATGGAGCAATAGGAACCTTTAAGCGGCCGATAGCTCCCAACTGCATCTAAACCTAGCTACTTTGTGTCTGGGGTCACCCGATTATCCGCTTTGCGGGACCGTGGACCAGAGCTAGCTGCAAACAAGGAATGTATTTTTCGCTTCCAAAGATGGCGAAGAACTCCCGGACGTTGTGCATTGCAGGACCTCCTTAATGATCGATAAGCTAGGCCTGCGTGTTTTTGCAGAGTCCTACTTGGATGGAAGTATGTCTGGCAAGCTGGGCGTGGAGGACTTCAGGACTGGGTCCACGGTCAGGGGCGTGTGGGGTCTCGCCCAATCCGTCACCGTGCGGAAGGGCCGCTTGTTGGGGGGCTCGCTCCGGCGAACCCTTGTGATAGGATCCGTGGAGAGGTTGGAAAGCGACAGGTCTGCCATGGAATTCGTTTGGGCAGGCCGGGGCTTTTGGCCCTCGAGCTCATCGTCATCGAAGACACCCCGGGTGCGAGCACCTGGGCCTAGCCAGCGATCCTGAAGCACAGCATTCACGTGCAGAGATGCCTGGAAACGCTTGATGTAGCCCTTGATTTCTGGAAGCTGGAACAAGAGCTCACATCTCTTCAAGCAGTACTTGACATCCTTCACGATTCCACTCAGCAACTCGGCCTGCTCAGGAGCCATGGCTTGTACCTGATCCCTCAGGTATGCGAGCTTTTCATCCATGTCTCCCGGCTCTCCTGGCTCTGCACTCCAGGCGCCAAAGCCGCCCGTAGCCACCTGCTCAGCCTGTTGGGTGGGGGATACCGGAATCTGGTCTATGGAGTTGGGCTCGGGTGCCTGCTCCGGCGCTTGCTCGTAGCCTTCCTCTGCAACTTCTTCGGGTCCCTCTGCTTGAAGCTCTGTTGGAAACTCTTGAGCCTGTCTTGGCTCCTCCAACGGTGCCTCGGGCTTTCCTGCCTGCTCCAAGGCGGACACGCGTGATTCCAAGGAGTCCAGCCGCCCGAAGATTTCTGCTGACCGGGAAGGCGGCCGTGGAGCCTCTGTGCCTGCAAACCCCGGAACACCTGAGGGCACCTCCTCTAGGGCCAAGCTGTCGGAGAGGGCCTCCAAAGCAGCAGCCAAGCCTTGCACCTCCAGGAGCAAAGATCTGAGAAACGAAGCACAACACCAACCTGCTGAACATGCAAGCCATCTTCTAGGCATCAGCAAAGGCCCCACATTGGCTTCGGCTGGATTGGCTCTGAAACAACAAGCTCATTGGATAACGTACCTCAGAAAGGCTCTCATAAAAAGATTTATGTAAGAAGCACAGAAACCATGTTTGTCCAGGCCTTGGCTTCGATGCCTCCCATGCGCACCTGCCAAGCACAAGTAGGGAAACTGACCCACAATTTGCAGCCCACGTCGCCCTGATGATGTTTACTTTATGTTCTGGATGGTGGAAGCTTCAAAGCCCAAACTCCTAGAGACAGCCACCTCGTGGGCCATAGGACACCTATGACAGCAACATGGCATCTTGAAGAATCCAAATTGCCCGCGCCTCGATCTGAGGAGCAGCTGGTGCTGACGCTGCAGGCACTGCAACCGTCGCCTCTCCAGTGGCCTCAGCCACTGGAGCCTCAGGGCCGTTGGCCTGTGCAGGGCGATCGTTGACCACAAGAACAGAGGTCTTGACTTGCTATCCTGAATGCCGCTAAAGCAGACATTGCCACCCTGACAACTTCCTGAGAGACGTCATACAGTTCATGCTTCTGAGTACTTGAATCTGCTGCCCGAGGATTTGACAGCTTGCGCTCCTGTAGCACGGAGTAATTCTCGGTATTAACATCGTGCGTCAGGAGTTTTTGGCATCATCAACCGAGGACCCTTCTTCCTCAACTCCGAGTCTTTCACAGGAGAGGGGGATCGAAGCTGCTCACAGCTTCTAACTCCTTGCAACTCATTCCCAGCAGCACAGTCTGGACTCTGGACTACTTCCCTCACCATGATGATTACTACTATCTCTTCCTACATGTTTTTCTAATGCTCTGTCTTTTGGACTGCCTTGCAGATTCTGGCATATACTACCACTCCTTCTATTTGTAGCCTCACCTTGGCCCCACCGGCTCTGCCTGTCCAGATTTTGGCCTCAGCTCTGCCACAGCCGTCTGCAAGGCTGCAACCTGGCATCGCTTCAGCCATTTTTGTCAGTGGTCATAAGAATCAGGCTTTATGGAAGTCATGAAGAAAATATTTAATGCAAAGCATTCAGAATGGGCTGGCTATGCGCGTGTCTCTACATGCACGTCTCAAGCGTTCGTGATTTGCTGCACTTACGTGCGGGGCATCCGTGTCTTTTGGCTACGTAAACGTAGAAGCCGGATTCGCACGGATCTTCTTGTGGTCTGTTCCAGCCTACATTTGTGATTTATCACAGGCCAATCTGTCCCGGACTTCGAAAGGTCGGGAGGCCCTGCCAACCAACCCTTTGCTAAACTCTGGAAAAAGTTGATGTCTGGATTCTGAGAAAAGCCTCATAGCTTAGCATCCAACTTGCTCGGGTCCAAAATTGGTCTTCTACAGGATGCGAAAGCCTTCGCGGCCAGAGCCTACCTCGAGAAGCATACTTCCTCCAGATCTGATGAACTTTCAAAACAGAGTCAATGGCAACCCGGGCCTAAATATGATAAAATGTGCTTTGACTTGCGAACATGGATCCCCGCATCTACCTACTCGGAAACCGAGGCACCCCGGAAGACCTTCCCATGAGCAAGCATGTAGAACCCCAACCTGCCCGCAAGATGCGGGCAAAGTCATCCGTTCCGGATTAAGTGGGCATAACAAACTGCAGGCTTTAAAGTAAGCACAAGCAGGTCAGAACCACCTGGTCCTGGAGCAGCTGCAAGGGGGACCTCCAGTTCGAGGTGACACTGGTGCACCAATGAACCAAGATCTGCAAACCCAACTGTTCCTGAATGGCTTCACAGCAAGTCCTAGATTGCCTTTACAAAATGCGCAGACTCTACAGTAGGCCCCTATCATCCTCTATCTGAAACGTATGACCTCAAGACCTATCATCTGGGCATACAGCAACACACCTTTGCTATGCTGCAGGCGATTCCTTAACCCTGCACCGTAAAGCCTACGGATTAAGATACGCCCTCCAGAACAAGCCTTGAAGCCTGAGGGCTGTAACATCCTCATGATTTTTTACAAAGGTAGGGCAGACTGTAAGGTACTACAATCCCATATCCCTTTGTAATCCTTATATGACAAACTCCCCAATTCCCTACTAACCACCAGTAAGTTTTTGCTACCGCCAGGTCGCGGCGGCTGCTCCAACACGGCCGCCTCTGCTGCGGCTTCACCAGCCAGAGCAACCTCCTTCATAAGCTGAGTGGCTCAACGGTTCGTTAAGGCTACAGGGGCTTATGTATAAGGGAGGCTCTCTCAGGGGACTTCGGGTGGATGCCTTCTGCTGTGAATGGCGCCTGGCATTCTTGAGGCACGGGCGTTCAAGCATAGGTTTCAACCTTGAGCATTTCATGCCAAGAATGCTACTACTGTCATGCTCGTAGATGTTCTGCAATGCGTATTGTATTGCATGTATGACCAGCACTGCTAGCGGCCAACTAGCGGCGATGTTTCGCATTGCGGCCAAGCGCATCAACGATAATTCACCAACACAACATCCTATATTCACACCTTGGAATTTTGAAGTTAGACTTGCACACCTGCAACAACAAACTGCACAACGCAATGATCACACTGGCACTAGCGCAAGGACAATCGCGTAGAAGTGGCACGTGTTAGTAGCGTTTTCGGATGTGTCAAAAAATGAAGGAGCCAGTGTTATACGGTTGGCACCAAGACTGAGCATCTTCTAGCACAATTCTAAGTGCTGTCACCATCTTCGAAGTCTTCGTAGGGGGGTGTCCTCACGCTCAGTGGCTGTCACGGGCGGGGCGTCCACCGCGGTCTGGGCCTCCTTGCGCCGACGCAAGACGCACCGCTGGCCGTCTGGAAGATAGGAGCTTAACAGGGTGCTGGCATGATGGCCACACATATGGGCGTGTATTCGCCTTCTGGGGCTGCACGATGTGCTGAAATGTGCTTGGCGGAAAGGATGATTACTTTTGATTTAGTCAGTTCCTTCACCGAGGTTTCGTGGCCTTGGCGGGCTTCTGTGAAGAGTTTGGAAAGATTGCGGCCCAGCATTGTGGGGCTTCGGCTGCTGCATCACATTTCAAATAACTGTTCAGCCCGCAAGCTGGCTAAACAGAACCCTCCTCGAGAAGAACAGCTGAAGCATCAATGCTCCCTCAACAACTCCAGTCCAAACATCGATCGCGTCCTCGCCGGCTCCGCTGCTCTCAGGCTGCACAGAGGCCTCCATAGGCTTCCTGGGCTTAGAACCAGCAATCCAAGTGGTGCGACGATATGTTTCCTGCAAGCTTCCTCAAGGTAAACTGAATCAGCTGGGGCCGTCAGATCAAAATGCATCTCCTCCGATTTGTTGGATACTTACTTTTGTGACATTGTGTACAAGCCAGTGAGGCAGCAGGACTGCTTGCTGCGAGATATTTCGTTGGGGACTAGAGAGCTTTCCCGGGCGGACGAAGCATGATGATTGAAGTAATTATGGGGGATTATGATGCCGTAGCAGCCCGTCCAGCCGATGTCCATGTTCGCAGAGCGAATACGCTGAAACTGGTCGATTTTCTTCTGGTTGCAGCCATTGCATCTTCCCTACGATGAATTGAAATAAACTCATGGGGACTGCTTGGTATTCCAGGAACACTGCAAGGAAACCTCCTGGATCCTAGGGATAAGGCATCCTCTTTTCCACTAAGACAAGCCTCACGAGGCTTTTTTATACTGGCCTACAATATTACCCTAAACCCCAACTCTTGGAAGGCTCACGTTGGACTTCAGGCGGACAGCATGAAATTGCAGCCAGTTGCGGTGCCATTGCCTCCGCCACAGCTGCGAGACACTTCCTCGGTTGGTGGCGGTTCCGAGAAGGACGTTTAATGGGCCTGAAGAATCACCAAGGTTGCTTCCTCCATAATCCTTTAGAACCTAGATAATCGCCAAATTTCTGTTCTCATTATTTGGGCCCTTTAGGCTGCCTGTATAAAGTGACACGTATGCGGCCGAATGATTACAAAGTCTTCTTTCGAAACGCAGCCTGGGCAGCTTGAGAACTTGTGGAGTCCATGGAGAACGCATCCGTGCAGAAGCAAGCATGACAACAAGAAGACAGACATGAATCACTCATCTGGACATGCATTAGGCTACAGGCCGTTTACTTTTTTGACAATGCATATGCGAACACAGCCTTTTCTGTTCGCCAGCCCAAAGACTTGCACCCTCAAATCCAGTACTACAAGGGCGGAATCAAGTCTCAGCCAAGCTCCAGGCTTCAGGCCCAAAATCGAACACCTTAACCCAAAGAATCTCAACCCGGAAGCTTGCAACTGCAACGCCGCCACCCGGAGATGCTGTACATGATGCCGAGGAGAACGAAATTGAAAGGGAAAGCCGAGCATCTCATGGCAGATCTGAGTAAGCTGGATCTTCAAGTCTGCCTGATGCGACCATCTTACTCACCCTTAAGCGCGAGCATGAGAACTCGAGAATTGAGGTTTTGTCAGTGCTTGTGCTTGCTATCTGATTCTATGGCCTTGGAGGGCGGTCTTACATAGGATATTCTTGCACTAAAGACAACTCTCTTTCTCAACTTCAGGCGGGCGGGACCTTCATGTAGCGCCTTACAACCCTCCAAAGCAGCCTTGCACCCCAGAAGTACACCTCTTTCCTCAATGGAAGGGTTGCTTCCTGGGTTCCTCCTTCACCGTACCAAAACCTCCCAAAAATGAAATGACCAGCACTTGCAACCAGTGCACTGGATGTTCAACCTAAGTGGCCTGTGGTTAGCTAGGAATGAAGGAATGGATCTCTATAGTAACTATAGTAGTCCCTGGAGTACGGCCCTAGGCTAGACCTTGTACTTCGCAACTCCTGGATCCTTTGGGTCAATCCCTCACACCCAGTAACGGGCACCACAAAGGACTATTGTAGGTATATGAATATTACGGCCGTATGAACTCCATATTTAGTTTAGGGGCTGTCACTGTAGGGGGGATAGTAGTTTCCACTGTCTTTTCCATTCCTCCATTCCTAACCAAAGGCCACCCCTCCCACCAAAACCCACTGGCCAGCGGCCTCAAGGCGCACAAGCTCCTCTGAGATGATCACCTTGCTTGGAAGATGCTAGTGATGACAATAAGAATCATAATTGTAATAGTAGCAATAGTACTAATAGCAATAATAGTAATACTAACAACAATTTTGTAATAAAAGTAATCTGAATCATTGCCGGGGCCACAAGACAAAAGTTGACGTTATTCAATAGCCTGTTGTCCTGGAAGTGCTTCTGGATTTCTGCGCTCCGCAACAATTCAATTCTAGATGACGGGAGAATACATTGGCCACACAAATTGGGT